GAGTCTTCCAAGGATCAGCCCTCGGTTCTCTGTTATTCACCATTTTTGCCAACGACCTCAGTCTGCACGCGCCGGACGCTCATGTCACCCAGTACGCTGACGCTACCCAAATCCTTATTTCCGATACCAAGCGCAATCTTCATTACCTCATCCAACGCATGGAGTCTACCCTCACCTCCTTGGCATCGTGGTTCCATCATCCATGCCCACGGACTTAAACTCAACACGTCCAAAACGGAATTCCTCCTCCTTGGCACCCGACAGAATGCCAGAGATCTCCCCCCTGTCAGCGTGCGGGTCGGTGGCGGGACCGTTCAGGAGAGCCCATGCGTTAAAAACCTAGGCGTCATTTTCGACCGCCACCTTACGTGGGATGCTCATGTCAGTGACGTGGTACGTAAGTGTGTCGGCCTCCTGATCGGTCTCCGCCACCTGAGGAGCCTCCTCCCGCGGCGGACGCTCCTTGCAGTCGTGCAGGGCCTGGACGTCTCGCGCGTGAGATATTGTCTATCTGTGTATGGGAACGGCTCCGCGGCTAACAACGAACAGCTGCTGAAAGTTGTGAACTTTGCCACCAGAGTAGCAGCCGGTCTCCAAAGGTACGATCGTGTGTCTCGCGCGCGGGGCGACCTGGGCCTGCACACACCGCGCCAGATGTGTGATGCGCAGACCGCTATCATTGCGCATAGAATCCGTGCCCTGGGCGAGCCCGAGGAGCTCGCCTCACTGTTTGTGACTTTCGCCGACGCACGGCAGTGTAACCGCCCCACTAGACAAGACCGTGACTTGCACCCGCCAGCTACAAGAACAGCGGTCGGGCGGCGAGGGTTTGCGTACCGAGCAGCCTCGCTTTTAAACTCTATGCCCAGTGACGTGACACGGCATCGAGCCAGCGGCTTTTAAACCGGCAGCGAAACGTTTCTTTTATTTGGAGTGATTGTGCGTGCGTGTGTGTGCTGTTTCGGCGGATGATTGTTGTTTGCCGTGTACCTTTCGACGTCCCCAACCGTTTTATTTCACTGACAATTGACACGTAATAGCCACCGTGTTGTGGAGTGTCTGCTGACGTAAATATATAAAATGAACTGATCAGTACCTTTTCGACATGGTACACCCTCACAGCTCGCAATGCTCGGCCCTCGGGGCCCCTTTGCCAAGTTGGCCCCCCTCAAACGCCAAGTCTGCGACCGCCCCTGGACATCCGTCCGACATTGAGGTCCAGGCGTGGTGCAGGTACGTCGCCAGATTGGTAACACACGAGCGGCGTGGAAGAAAGCCGTGCTGCGCCTCAGAAAGGACGGGTGATACGTGGCGCATCAGCTCGTTATACACGACCCTCTCAAGCACCTTCCCAAAGAGCGGAAGCAAAGACAGAGCGGTAGTTTTCCGGAGCTTTCTTGTCTCCTTTCTTAAAGATCGGAACAATGTTAACCTGCTTCCACCTCTTCGGAAAGAAGACCTGATGCAGTGATAGAGTGCACAGCATAGAGTACACAGCACAGCACCAACGGAACACTCAGCTCAGTGGCACTTTCTCGTATTACCGCTCACGTCTCCGATCTCAGCCGCCGGTGTACGGGACTGTTGATCGGTCTCTCCCATGCGCGCCACAGTCTCCCGGATGGCATCATTAGAACGCTCGTGACAGCACTCGTTATCTCACGCATCGGCCAGTACTGCCTCTCAGTTTATGGCAATGGGTCCCCAAAAAATTTCGATCGTCTCCAAAAAAATTGAACTTCGCTGCTAGAGTCATTTTCGGTCGCCGTAAATTTGCCCATGTCTCTGACCTGCGAACAAAGCTCGGGTGGTTGTCCCCGCGTCATATGGCTGATTACCAAACCCTTGTTATCGCCCACAAAGCCATTCAGCGCGGCGAATCCGAGGAATTGGCAACCATGTTCGTCACAAACAGCGCTGTCCGGGAGAGACACTCCAGGCAAGACCACCTCTTTCACCTTCCGCGACCACGGCTGGAAACGGGTAGGCGGCGGTTCGGCTATCGAGCCGCTGCTCTACTCAACAGTCTCCCAACTCAGCTGTCGTAGCTGTCTCCCGCCCCCTTTGCCCGATCTGTTAAAGCCGCGATAGTGGACGGGGCATCAACTGATCGTCGCTGACCAACAGTGAGTTGTACCTGTGGTACTACGAAAGTGTCTCTGTCCGTGCTTTGACGTGAGTGAATGTGTGAATGCTGTGAATGTTTAGATTAGTAACCGCGGATACGGATTCTGAGCAGTAATCGCCACGCACTTTCAGACTGTGGATCGCTCATGATTGTTCAATACAATACAATACAATACTAATGTTATCAGGACCGCATGTCTTACTCGGGTTTATCGACTCAAGAATAAGACGCACCTGATCCTGGGACACACTAACACTGGTAAAAGCGGACACGTCATAGACAGGTGCGCGTGGGTACACAATAACAGAAGTGTCACAAAACTTGGAAGCAAAAGTATCATTTAACCCGCGCCCGGCTGGGGGTCCTGGATTTCCACGCCCTGCTGGGGGGGGGGGTGTTTGAACACCCCCCCTTGTAACTCGGCTCCTGGGTCACGTAGCGATACGCGGAAGGCGGCGTTCGAAAGAGCGTCAAAAATAATGACGAAATCACTTCGGTCAATTTTTTGGTCAGGTCAAAGGTCAGGTCACCAGAGGTCATTGAAGGCAAAATTTCGCCGATTTCCAGGTCGAATGTCAAAAATTTCCAAGAAGCCAACGCATAACTCGGGAACCAATAGAGCTACAGCGCCGCGGAAAAGCGCATTCGATAGCCCTATTAACACCCTTTCTGAGTAATTCTCTCAGATTTGACCTACCGTCAACGGTTTTGCCTGCAGGGGGCAAAAACTGCAAAAATAGCCGATTTTTTCGGAAACAGTTTTTCTGCAATAACTTTTGACCCAAGCCTTGTACGAGCTTACTTTTAACAGCATCGTGTTCCTCTCGTCAAGACGCATCGAATGAACTACAACTTGACCTTGCAAGGTCAACTTGAAAATTTGACCTCAGGTCAAGGTCATGACCTGACCGGAAAGGGTCATGTTGCACATCAGTCGATCCGTATAGTCGAGCTGAACACATCTAATGCGTTTTCATCGCTCTAGCATGCCTCTATCAAAAGTTATTTGCGAAAAACTGTTAGATACCATTCGTGACCTAAGATGACCTCAGGGCATAAACAAGGGTCACGGACACCATTTTCATGTTCAGTGTGTCTAAACCACTTGTAATTCGGTGTTTGGGAGTGTTTATAATGTCTTTCGTCCAAACGAGGCGCATTTCAATTTTCTCCCATTGACTTATAATGGGGAGGTCGCAAAATTGACCTGACCTTAGGTCATCGATATCAAAATTCTGAGATATACATTTTGTACATGCTATTGCTCTTAGCAATCGCTGAAAGTTTCAAAGCGATCGGTCACTCGGTGTAGCTATGACAGACATTGAAACTTTTTATTAGGTGAGGTCACTTCAAGTGACCTGGTGACCTGACCTTGAATGACCTTGGTCTGAAATTTTCACAACATGTGTAGAATTGATGTATGATAAGGTGTACCAAAAACGGCGGCGCTCCGCGCCGCCGTTTTTGAGATATTCGCGAAAAACCACAAGGGGGGGTGTTCAAACACCCCCCCCCCAGCAGGGCGTGGGTTAAAAGAGATGCTCGCCCCCTATCATCCGTCACAAGCCGTGTACCGTCCCTTAGCACTGGATTGACGGAGCCCTTCTTGTTTAAACACTTAAAAAAGACCAGTACCTTTACACCAGTAACAGTACAGTACCTAAATTGTGCGTCTGATGGTACCAGTAAACTACCTCTTATGTGTGAAATATAAGAACAAATGGTAAAAACATCATGATCCTTCATTTAATGACACAAGGTACTCCCTGTAACATATACATTATACATATGTTATATACCGGGTGTCCACGTCAAAAGTGTACCCAGACTTTTCTCCGTATTTTATCTTAAAAACATCGCACTCACAAACAATTGCCCTCGTTTGAGAGCCAAGGCAATGGCAAAACAATTGCTATGCTTTTCAACTGTGTTCGGCACTCTGCTGACCAGCGCGTGCCGTCTAGAGCAACTGCTCTATATGAGCCGCTTTGCGTCGGGCCACCGCCGGCAGACGGACCGTGGCATGTGAAATCCCACAATGCCCCGTGCACTGGGGATCCCATTGCCTAGAAAAAGTTCAGACCATGCCTCTGCACAGCAAGAAAGTATCGGTTTGGGTGGCAATGAGGCATGGAGGGGGCATTATCGACCCCTTCTTTTTCGAAGACGACAGGGGAGAGACAAACACAACACCGTAACGCTAGAACGCTACGCCTCGGAGGCACTGGAACCATTCTGGCGAGAGCTGAAGCGGAGACGCGGGATCCGTCGCCATGAAGAATGGTTTCAACAAGACGGGGCGCCGCCCCACACCGCCAAACGGTCGCTGGAATTTCTGGAAGAGCACTTTCCTGACCGCCACATCAGCTTGAAAAGCGCAATGGAATGGGCTCCACACTCGCCCGACCTCAGCCCTCTAGATTTCTTCTTGTGGGGCTTTCTCAAGGACTTGTGCATACGCTGGCAATCCAGGGTCGACCCAGGAGCTGAAAGACTTCATCATCGACGAGATCCGTCGCCTTCCTTCCCACATCGTTGACCAGGCGATCACCCACCTCCAGACGGTCCGTCTGCCGGCGGTGACCCGACGCAAAGGGGCTCATATAGAGCAGTTGCTCTAGACGGCACGCGCTGGTCAGCAGAGTGCCGAGCACAGTTGAAAAGCATAGCAAATGTTTTGCCATTGCCTTGGCTCTCAAACGAGGGCAATTGTTCGTGAGTGTGATGTTTTTAAGATAAAATATGGAGAAAAGTCTGGGTACACTTTTGACGTGGACACCCTGTAATTCGCCAATATGCGGTTGTGCTTGTGTGCTGTTTGAAAAGAATAGACTTCGGCTCTGCTCATTTCAATTTGCACCATCCCCAGGAAGGTCGTGTGGAAGCACCTGTTGAACATTTACCCGGAGAACATGACTGCTCGAGAGCGCATCGACTACGTCAAGGCCAAGTGTGCCGAGTACCGGGAGCTTCGTGACTGCTGGATGAAGCTGGTGCAGGATGGGCAGGTAGGTCCTGTCCGGTGGATGAAACTGGTTAAGGATGGGCAGTAGAGTTCTGCGCGGCTGCAATTTTCCACAACCTGGCCGCCCCGCAGCCGTGGTTCCACAGCCACAGCCGCCCAGAGCCGTGGCAAACATATATATGTTACAGGCAATGTGTGGAATCAGGCCTTCTATAGAGTGCCTGACCGACCGGGCATTCGATAGATGCGTGTAGGCTGTAAAGATTATGAGTACATACCGATATGCAACGTTATTATTTTCTGCTAGGCTACCCTGCGTTTTAAATGTTCATTCAGTCAATTATTCCGGTCAGGTTTTCAATCTAACCTTATTAGGTCATGCTGTAGATCATCTTTTAAGCTGTCATTCGGAGAGTACAGAGTATTCGTCTTAACGCTAGAAAGACGGTGGTGTTAATGTCATTATCGGAATCGCATTTGGTCAAAAAGTCGCGCAGGAAAAAGTTTGCAAAAGCGTCCATTTTTTTAGATTTGCGCTCTGGAAGACATAGCATCGATTTAAGGCCAAACTGGAGAAACAGCTACGAGTCAAAAATAGCCAAAACTTGGCCTGACCTAAAAATGGCTTAACTAGTTGTTTCATATTTGGCGGCCTTTGGAACATTGCCAAAGCTTTACTGGAGCCAAATTTCATAATTTTGACGACCGTTCGAACATCGCATGGCTCAAAAGTCAAGTTGGAAGAAGAGATCGAACAACACTTAATCCGGCTGTTGTTACGGTCGGGCCACCGCCCAGGCGTGGAATATGTAGTTAGTGAGCCATTTGTTCAGTTTATACCCTGACATTGCAGTGTCAAAAAAACAGGGTGGGTTATTGCTATTTTCCTCATTTTTCAACTTAAGTCATGTTCTGGTGGCTATTTTCCTACACAAAATCATTATTATATGAAAATCTTTGATGATTAATGTTCAGCATTGACCCATAGAATGAGAAGAGGGCTGATACCCTGCTTTAGGAGAGACCAGCACGACTTAGAGGGTCCCTGATCTAGCCTCTGATGGCTCCATGCTGCTCTCGGGGGCCTCACTCCGACATCTTAGAGCTCATGCTGACCTACAAAGGCCCCACACCGGTAGCAGAGGGACCCACGATGGCCTCGGGGGCCCACTATGGCCTCAGGAGGCCCATGCTGGCCTCACAGGGCTCGCGCTGGCTTCTGGGGGCCCAGCACCAGCCTTAGAAGTCAGAGGGTACAGGTTCCCACTCTGGCCTCAGATTACCCAAGGTCGGCATCAGAGAGCCCCATGCTAGAAGGCCCCACCCTGGCCTAAGAGGGCCCTACATTGTCCTCAGAGGGCCCAAGCTGGTCTCAGATGGCTCCGATTTGGCCTCAGAAGGCCTGTGCTTAGAGGACCCACACTGAACTTAGAGGGCCCTACGCTGGCCTTAGTGGGACCCACGCTTGGGCTGCGCGCTGGCTTCATAGGGCTCCACACCAGCATCAGAGGGGCTCACGCACAAGTCTGACCCTTTAGGGTTCCCAAAGCGGCTTTTGAGGGCCCCACAGTCCACACTAGCCTTTGGGGCTCGACCTCGGCCTCGAAGATCTCTGCGGACCCTCACAAGGCAAATTTAAGATAGTTTAGACGTAGTTTCACTTCATATTCATACGTTTTGGCCAGTACTTTGGATGAGGCCCTGAAAGTCGTTTCTTATGACACATTCAAGTAGCCTAAATGTTTCACTGGTGTGTCTGCAGTCTAAAGCCAAAGAGGGAGGCCATGGCCTCCTGGCCTCCCACTTGCTACATCACTGAGTATGAACATCAGGTCCTGTGTGAAAAATAATCTCTAAGTTAATACGCACGTAGCATAAAAGATGACATTTCGTGACCTGAGCTGACCTGACATACCTTGACCTCGAATCAATGCTTCTACAGTTAAGAGTAGGATGCAGAATAACCACTACGATCAAAATAAGCGCAAAAAATATCATTGAAGAGGCAGCGCAACCCGTCGATTGCTGTCTCAAAGTGACCTTGACCCGTGCTTAGTTGACCCTTTGACCCACTTATGCTCTCAGGGTATCTTCACAAAACCTTTGATGTCCCTTCGGCTGAGTTTCGGGCAAAAGCTACGGATTCCGCCGTTCATAAACCGCGTCATGAAGATGGCCCAGAATTTGACCCTTGTCCTGATCCTGACCCGAACTCTGACCTCAATCTTAACCCTCGCAGGCAATCTTTAACCCTCGTGGGGCTCGAACGGTTGATGCAACCCCCTGAGGTTTTTTTTTTGCAAATAACTAATTCGCGTAAAAAGCAGCCGATCGCGACAAAACGTTAAGTACCTACCCTCGGGTTGATCAATTTTACACCTACCCTGAAAATTGCATGACCCTGACACAAATGACCTTTGACCTGTGACCTACTTTTCGAGACCATATTTGGCCGGAATCGCGATTCGTCGTATGCCGGCTCTCAGTAGCCGCGCGTTTGCAGTCTTTTCGTGGTTTCAAGCGTTTAACAATGTGATATGATGTTGTCCCATGCATTAGGGTGGGTGCCAAGGTCACCTGAAGGTCAGGTCAGGTCACTGACCTTTGATGACCTTGGTCCACTTTTTCGAGGTTTACATGTTTTTAGGCTAGTTTTTGTAGATGAATTCGAATTAGGCAACCGTTTGAACATTTACGAAGTAGTTTTGGTGCCTTCGTAACATGTTACGAATCTGTCAGAGGCGGTTGACACGTACTACGAATCCCCGACAGGACTCTACTAGTTGACCTGACCTGACCTGACCCGACCTGGCCTAAATGCATGAAGGCAACATCTGTGATCAAAACTAACATGATTTTCGTGATCAGCACCCCCGAAAAACCTCACAGAAGCCACACTTACCGACGTTCTAACAGGTCCCGATTTTCCCCACTTTTGGGTCATTGACCTGAGGCCAGTTTTTCCAACAGAAAAATTCCGGCTGCCGGATTTTTTCTAAAGGTTACTTCACACACGGAGCGTAAACGGTACGGCCCTATCCGTTTACGTGCCCAATGCCCATCACGTTTACCGTATGTGAAACGGTCTTTAGGCAAAAAATTCCGGCAGGCGGCTATTTTTCTGTTGGTAAAGCTGGCCTCTGATCTCAGAGGTCACCTTTTGACCTATGACCTTAAAACGGCCCTGGTGGCGCAGTCGGTTAAGGCGTCGACCCGCGGTGCGGACGGTGCCGGGTTTCGGGTTCGATTCCCGGTTCCGCCCGTTCCGCGGGCGCCGTCCCCGGCTGTGTCACCAGGTGTGGGGTAGGCTCCCACTTCAGCCGTAGCCTGGGGGTGGGTGAACAAGGGCCAGGAGGAGGAGCCCTCCTGTAAATGGGATATAAGTGCCCGTTGGAGGGAGGCCTAGATAAAAAAAACACGGGCACCGTTGGCTTCGTCTCGTGACGACCTACACGATGTTTTCCCCTCGAGGCTCTAGCTCAATTAGGGGCCAAACGCAAGGGGAATCGTACCAACCTCCCCCCCCCCTTGTGCCGTCGAAAGGCAGAAAATGGCCTGTGCCGGCGAGGTTTAAGAATGCTTAGGGAAGATCTCGTGAAGAGCTTTCGATCGCCGCCTCGTGGGGCTCGATACGACCAATGGTTCTCGAGATAACAGAGGGACCGTTCCGCCCCCCTCCCAACCGGCTGTCGCGGGTAGGGAAATAGCCCAGGCGGTGCCGGGATAAATGTCTTCTATACAAGCCGGCTGTGGGCTTATAAGTGGCTCTTGCAATCATACGAGTAAAGCGATTAACCCTCGCATGTGTAGGGGGGGGGGGTCGGATGGACCCCCCATGGTTTTTCGCGAATAACTCGCGTAAAAAGCGGCCGATCGAAACTTTCAGTACCCTCGCATTGATCAATTTTACACCTACCCTGAAAATTTCATGACCCTGACCCAAATGACCTTTGACCTGTGACCTCTATTCCGAGACCATGTTTGGCCGGAATCGCGATTCCGCGTATGTCGGCTCGCATTAGCCACGCGTTTGCAAGCTTTTCGTGGTTTCAAACGTTCAAACATGTGATTTGATGTTGCTCCCATACATGAGGGTGGTTGTCAAGGTCACCTGAAGGTCAGGTCAGGTCATTGACCTTTGGTGACCTCGGGTGACCTCGGTTCACTTTTTCGAGTTTTACATGTTTCTAGGCTACTTTTTGGAGCTGAATTCGAATTTAGCAACCATTTGAACATTTACGAAGTAGTTTTGGTGACTTCGTAACATGTTACGAAGCTGTCAGAGGCGGTTGACACGTACTACGAATACCCGTCACGACGCCTACTGGTTGACCTGACCTAACCTGACCCGACCTGGTCTAAATGCTGAAAGACATCATCTCTGATCAAAACTAACACGATATTCGTGATCAGCACCCCGAAAAACCCCTTAGCAGCCACACTTTACGACTTTCTAACAGGTCCCGATTTTCCCGACTTTGGGTCATTGACCTGACGTGGAAGGTCAATCAATGACCTAGGATCTTAAAATTGGGTATCATCGGCTTCCTCTCGTCACGGGCAACACGCTCGTTTTTTCCGCGAAGCTCTAGCTCGATCAGGGGCCAAACGGCAAGGGGGGTCCAACCGACCCCCCCCCCCCTACACATTAGAAGCTGGCAAACGCCGCACACATGCGAGGGTTAAATAAAATATTCACCCTTTGTATGTACAGGTCTCGCGGATTTTAGCGGTAGGTTTTGCACCTAGAAAATTTAGTGTACTTCAGGCTATATCTTCGTCGTCTTAACCTTCCAGGCGGTGGGGGGGGGGGCATTTTTGCCCCCTCCCCTTTAGTTTTTTCGATATATCTCGAGAACTGCTGCGCCGATCGTCACCAAACTTTCAGTACCTTCCCGGGAGTAGCTAGCGCACATGATGACCACAAATTTTTCCAAAGGCTATGATAGGTTGGCCGCTAATGACGTCAGAGTGACGTCATTTTTGCTATTTTCGACCCAAAAAAGGTTTCGCGGGAAGAGCTGTCAGGCCTACAGCTTTAGA